GTAGCATTTACCTCAGGAATGAATGCTAGCTGCACAATAATGCTATTGTCAAGGAATGGACACACTTAGATATTTAACTAAAGAAAGATACATTTGAAATTAATTTGTTTTTGTCTCATAATGTGAGTAACAGGGTTGCGTTTGTACAGGGATTTTGGGTGACATGAAAATATATCACATTGGGCCCCACCACCAGGCACAGGCCACACCAACCAAGCACAATTGCTGTAAACACACCTCCGGAACCCAACCGACTCATTTATGCTTTAAATAAAGGGGACCTATCATGCAAAATGCACCTTTGTACGTCTTTTATACATGAATATGTGTCCCCGGTGTTCCAGGGAACTCACCAAGTGTCAGAAAACACAACCCTCTCTATCTCAGACTGCCAAGGCACACNTCTACATTATTTGGGATTAAGTGGTGGAATAGATCAAATAATATTCAGTATATCTAACAATTTTTTCGTATTCCCGCAGGCAAAGTATCAACAAAGCTTACATTATACAAATGTAGTGCAATATACAGACTGTTTAGCTTATGGTGATCAGCAGCACTATGAGCTCATTCTCTCAGTGTATCATCAGGAATACAGAGACACACACACATCATTTAAATAAGAGTTTTTAAATTAAATGATAAGAATAAACATCTTAAAGTAAATAACAATAAACAATAGCCCATAACCCATAACCCTGTAAGGCCCCAGGTTGTAATTTTACAACATTACTTGAAGCTATCCTAAAAAAGTCAGTAAATGTTTTGTTTTTTTAAAAGACCACATTTACATAGTCAAAAGGTCCTTTTGTTCAGCCTCACAATGCTATTGGTTAGTACATGTGTTTATAGGTCCTGCCCTCTGGCCATACACGCCAGGGATTTTGGGCCCCATGAAAATATATCACATTGGGCCCCACCACCAGGCACAGGCCACGCCAACCAAGCACAATTGCTGTAACCACACCTCCAGAACCCAACCCACTCATTTATTACATTACATGTTACTTGTTAGACGCTTTTATCCAAAGTGACTTACATACTCAATACTGTGGACAATCCCACAGGAGCCATTTTGGGGTGAAGTGGGGTGTGTGCCCAGGGACACAACGACATGCTGACTGCAGTGGGGTTTGAACCTGTGACCCCCTGATCCCAACACCAAGGCTCTATCCACTGCGTCACACGCCTCATTTATGCTTTAAATAACTCTACCTGTACAGGCTTGCATCTATCTTGTAGTCCAATACTAACCGCACAATATTTACTGACACTGAGCGGTGAAAATATAACACTGTGCTGACTACAAATTCTACTGCAACATTCTACTGCAGTAGAATCCACTATTTGATATAACACTAACATTCCTGCCAATATATCTCAATAGTCTTATTTTATGGTGTATATAACATTTTTGAATAGAACATTCATAAATCAAAATAAATATAACTTAAATATACATGACCTCTTAAATTAAAATAAAGTGAACATTAACACCAATATTATCATTTATAAAATGCTATAAAAAAATAAATAACATAAGCAGCAGATTTTTTTATTAAATATACATACCAACTACAAAATAAGCAGGTATTAAAGTGTAAATGGACAACAAAACGGAAATGCCTGATGGTGGTGCTAAATCAGAGCCTATTACCTGTTCTCAGTCTTTTTCTCATCATGCATCTTGTGTGTAGTGATCCAAAATCGTTCCCATAGCCTTGCCCTTTAACAGTTATTACGAGCCCTGGCTCAGCCTTACTCACCAAGAGCCCAGCGCCTAGCCTTCTTACAGGCAAAGTCACAGATCAAGTCCTTGAAGTCCAGCTTTCTAGCCAACTGGCTTTCTATGGGATTAGTTTTGTATCATAAAGATAAAGCAACACTTTTTCAGAATAAAGCAAAAGACTGCAAAGCCTTATGGGGGGACAGGGCTGCTGATGGATCTGTTGGTCCTGGCACCAGGGGGAGGGACAACTGATTTAGTATGAATAGCTGCTAAAAATGTACCTGCATTTATTAAATGTCAGCTGAAAGAGGAGTGAAATGAAAAACCTCAAAACAATTATTATTGACAATGGACGCTTAGCTAACAGACTCATTTCCACCACTCATAGTCCACACCCACCTTTTCTCTTGAAAAACTGGGTGACATACTGTCGCCCTTTAGTCCCTCTCTCTTGTCTTTCTCTCCTTTATTTTCTTTTTGAAAGCCTGACTTTGTTAGTCGTTGAGACATTGTACACACGTAAGTACTAGCATCCATACTCACATGCTCTCACTCTCTGCTGCTAGAAAGTGCGGTGCCGCACAGCGTTTGGAGGCAGGACCAAACCATTACATGTAAATAGAGGGGGGTGTTCAGAGGCTTTGGATAATTAACTTTTGGAAGAAAATAAGTTAAAGTAATCGTAAGTTTAGTGAGTACATTATCAATATGACGTTATATTAATGTTAATTATTGATGATTGATGAAAGGTTACTTAAACATTTTTTCTGAATGTTCTAAAAATGTTTGGGGCCCCTGTCAGTCACGGGCCCTTAGAATCGCCCTAACTTTTTACCCCCTTGCGGTGCCCCTGCGTTTGTATGAGTGCTGCTACACTCCTTCAAGAGTGATAAGATTGGAAATATATTAAAAATAAAAGAGAGGACTTACTTTTGGTCTACCCATGGTATTGGTAGCACATGGCTTGCTGTTGTGTGACAAACAGTTTTTTCACTTGCCAAGCTAAAAAGATTTCGGTAACAGGGTTGCGCGCATGTTGTGGGACACACTTTCAGTGTAAAATTACTGTTATTTAAAATGTGTTTATGATTTAACACATTTATTTTACTATTACAAGATACATATATCAATGGAATAATACCAACAAAAGTGAATAAAAACCCTATTTTAAATGTTATATTTGACATGCAAGTTGGTCAACAAGAAGCTGGGACAAGAGAAAAATGCCATTATAAGGGATGTTCAAGAGCTATTTGATATTTTAAATAATATTTTGAAACCACTTTTTCTACAACTTTATATGCATCTTGTCTCAAGACAATTATTTAACACAACAAGTGCATGTTTTAGCTTTTTGGGCATGGACTACTTGATTTTGTATATGTGGGACATGAAATGTCCTCCAATTCTGGAATGACCTGAATGGATATGCCCAGTCTTCCTGAAAGAACTTGCGCTGAGAAAGAGAAGGATGGAGGCTCTCAGCAGACCTATAGAAACAACATCAGGTCTGATAAACAAAGACTGATCATATTTGTACTACTTTTTTGCACTTTTTATGTTTGATTCACCTGGTTTTTAATAAGATGAGTAATTGTTAGATTGTTGTTGTTAGTAATTATTGTGTTTTGTTTTAGGGCACTCATATCCAACAGGGAAGATCCAGGTCATGGGAGACATTATCCAGTTCACCCTCGATGTGAGTGGATTTTCTCCAGAAGATGTTGTCATCACAACTTCGAACAACCGGATAAAGGTGGAAGCGGAGAAGGTGAGCCACACAGTCGGCCTAGCTATAAATACCTGTTCATGTATCCACAAAACAGTTGTTTGATATATGTAAGGTGGTCGTTCAAGTATTTTGTATTGCACTGTAGATTTTTATTTTAAGCCTTAATACATGCTGATCAAGATTAATTCAAAAAGGATCAAGTTAAAATAATGGCTTTAATGCAATAGATTACTGGAAATGGGCTACAGAACATCTCCACATTTGAAATCCTTTTTGTTTGACCATGTACATTTGAAATAGGAAAATAATTTTAATACATTTCAATTTAGAAGCATGGTAAGCCTCTCATACTTAAGAAATATGATTAAAGAAATGTGTAAAATTAAACAATGGTTTGAGTACAACTCATTCATTTCTGTCCTCATTCTCTCTGCAGCTGCGAAGATGGTGCAGTTACACACACTTTCTGCCATCGATGCAAACTGCCATCGAGTGTGGACCCCATATCTGTGACCATGAGCATGGAGATTGGAGCAGCGGGGCCCTGACTGTCAGAGCTCACAGACTGTTTTCATCTCCTCCCTGTGTTTAACGTCTCAACGCTGGGGTTTAGTGAACTCTGGTGGTGGACGAGAAGTACTACTGAACATATTAAAGATCCCTAATACTGGTCAATGCACTCTATTATAAAAAAAAGTGATTTTCAATGATAACTATGTAGGTCAAACATGTCAATCACGGTTGAAATAAATACGCACAACTTTTGTTAATTGTATGTCTGCTAAAACAACTTTATTAATCCCAAATTGGGAAATTTTGAAATGTTCCCAATTTGGGATTAATAAAGTATGTATTATTGTATCTTAACTATCTATCTTACCCTATGTTTAAATTAGTAACCAAAAGTAATACAAAGTCAGCCTATATAGTTGATATGACAAAAAAAAGGCAAAAAAGAAAAGAAATAAAGACTTATGAAAAGGGTCTTGATCACCTTTTTTACATCAACATCTTTCAGGGGGAAAAAAACTAAAATATGAATGAAAAATGTTGCCAACAACTTTATCAAATGTATAAAACACAACTGTCTAAAAAAATTTTTTTTAGTTTTTGTCATGGTTTTTCTAAAACCCGAACACTAAATGACAAATAATCAAAAAGTTATCCTATTGTTCAAAAAATGTAAAAACTGTGTTGATAAAAAAAAATGTATTTAGTGTTTCATGCAGCGTAACATTTAACAATTATCCTAAGGTCTGCTAAAACTTTATAATAATAATAATAATCCTTATATTTATTATAGCGCTTTTTCAATGACTCTCAAAGTGCTCCTTACAAATATAAGGTTAATTTATGAGGTTAACCTTAGCATACTCAAAAGCAGTGCCTGCTTTGTTTAAGGCACGACTCTTTATCTTGTCCCAAAACACATGTTAGTGGCAGATAAAGCCCAAAGACACGATTTATCGAAGCACCTGAAGGAGACATCCTAAACTACATGGGGAACGGAAGTGACGTCAAGCGGTTGTCAAGGGATGTTTTAGTTTACGGAAGTTCTAATCGATTGGCTGCACTTTAAGATTAAAACATGTTGTTTGTCGGCTCTACTTGCAAGTTTTAAAGCGCTTCGTTGTGAGGAAAGACTGTTTGCATTTATTTGATTGCGTCTCCGGTTTCACGAGTTTTCTTTCGCTACAGTTCGTCCTTTCTGGATGATAAACTGAACATAGCAATGTGATGCTAACTCTAGCAGCAACAACAACAACATGGCACAAGTTTCTCCTTCCTCCGGATCAATCATTGTGGCAGACTGGCATCGGTGTAAAGACAGCAAAGAATATTTCAGCAAAATACTGCACAAGAAGAGGCGCAAAAACTTTGGTAGGACAAATAAACTTTAGCATTTTAGTTGAAATGTTTTTGTTTTTTTAAAGCAGCATGTCATTTGTGTAACCAGCGTTTGATTATACAACACAAGGAATTATTTCTACAGTACATTTTTGTGACTAAGAAAACACATGCTGTCTGAGATTTTACAGACATAACCAGATACAATAATTTGTATTTCATACTAAACAAATGAGCTGTACAATCTAACAAAGTGGCTGGCAGATACAGTTGCCTTCTCTTTTTTAAATCTACACTTTGGCTACCAAAATAAGGTGTCCATGAAGTTTTAATACAATGCAACAACAAAGTACACAGTAAGGTTTGAATTACCAGGCAAGCAGAAGGAAAAAAGAACAAAACACTTAAAGGATGTTACAAGACACACTAAAAAGTGCTTAAGTGTACTATTTTATTTGGCATATGAACTTTATCACTCAAAACCAGATGACAAAACATACATGCTGTCCTGTGGAATATTACAAAAAGTGACACACCAATTCAACAGTGAAAGTAAACAAAATGGACATAAACCTGCAATATAACACAATTATTGATCCATGTATGTACGTATAATAAATAATACAATTGAAAGTAGGAATATCAGTATCTTACAAATGTCAGTATTTAGATGTTTCTTTTATAAATGATTTTACAGGCCTGTTGGAGTCTCCGGTGATGCCCCCACATGTAGCCGTGGACACCGTTCACTATAAAATCTTCCTGTCCGGCAAGAGTGGAGTGGGGAAGACTGTTCTGGCTGCACGTCTTGCAGGCTTGAATATTCCTAACATGCACTATGAAACCACAGGTAGACCCAGATCAATGGGAGTCAGTTGTTTTTTTAAGAATAATTTACACATGTAAAGGGTTGATCAGGTGAGACCACACATTTTATTTTACTTATGTTTTGTTCAAGGTATTGAGACAACGGTGGTGTACTGGCCGGTAAAACTTAGAGAAAATGGCAGAGTGCTTTTCTTCCGTCTGCAGCTGTGGGACTGTGGGGAGAATGCCTTGCGTAGATTCGACCATCTGCTGCCGGTGTGTTGGTGATATAGTGTGTTTGCACACTACGCTCACATTATTCTGTAATAGACTAAACATACATTCCTGATGTCTTCTGTCAGACATTATGTTAAATCACACTTTCCTGTCTCCAGGCCTGTAAGGAGCAGGTGGACGCCGTCCTCTTCCTGTTCTCCTTCACTGACAGGACCTCCTTTGATGATCTGTCAAACCAAATCGCTAAATGGACTGGGGCTCCTGTGGGTCGTGTTGTGAAATTGGTGGTTGGCACCAAGTATCCTCTAACAGTCTTTAAAGAAAAATATGAATGTTATGAAAGTTAATCTGAATACTTACTCTATAACTGCTATATCTATTCAGAGATTGGCCTTAATGTTTCTTCAGATTTGACCTTTTCATGCACTGTGACGTGGCTGAGAGAGACGTGAGGAACTTCCAGGAGACGTGGAGCGTACCAGTGCTGCGTGTGGGGGGGGAGGTCAGTGACGGACTGGGGGACGTGGCTTCTCTCCTCAACTGCCTGGCGGAGCACCTGTGGCATCAGGACTGTGTATCAGCCAGACACCATTCACAGCAGGAGACAGGGACTGTACTTTAATCCTGACTTAGTTAATCCTGTTTTAGTAGGCAGTTTAGGTGACCTGCACTCGAGGTGAGGTCCCTGCAGTGTGCCTGTGTATTGACAGCTGATCTGGGAGAGCTTCAGATCCCCCGGGATGAGATGAAGGAAACTTATTTGGGGCCGATTTAATTATTTCATATAATTCTATTATCACTGCAATACATTTGATTTGTACTCGCCCTTACGTCAGCAGGGTGTTGTATCAATATCGTGAGACCAGATAAGCTTATCTAATTGTTCCATTATGTGCCTCGTTGTCTCGTCTGTCCTCCTGCCTGTGAACATTGCACGCCATGTTAAAGGATGATTACATTCCTAAAATGCTTCTCAAGGAGAATACGCTCAGTGGAGGAGCCATGAGCAAGGATGCACAGGCATGACAATGTACTGATACAGCGTTTCAATTCTTTAATATGACAACTTGAATCACGTCTCATTATGTTTTATGACTGTTGCCTCTACTCCTCGCACCTTCCATCGCTCACGTTTCAGGTCGGAGGAACATAAGGAGAATTTTTAAACTGAGAAATAATAGATTGTCTGAGACTATGGTTATATTAACCTGCAGACGTGTCTATTATTTTGTGTTCTTCATGACACTGGATGCCTGTTTGAGCACATACAGTTCTCAATTTTAAAATGACAGCTCGTATTGCTTTGCTTTTTTACCGATGATATTACAGATTTCCTTTATACATTGTACTTAAAACACCTTACACCGAAGTCAAAATTAATGTCTGCTTGGTATTGGGTTAAATGTTTGATCAATATTCCACAGTGAGAAGATCAGTGGCCTTTTTCC